AGAATATAGATTTCTGCTGTGATTTGCAGGAGGGAAACCTTTCTTCACAAGAAACCCAGCAGAGCTGAAAGGAACCTTCATCAACACGAAGCTGAAGAAGAGTCGCCGTGGCTTTGGCTTCACCGTGGTCGGAGGTGACGAGCCAGACGAGTTTCTACAGATCAAAAGTTTGGTGCTAGATGGGCCTGCTGCTGTGGATGGCAAGATGGAGACAGGTGCGGTACATAACCACTGTCCACAGGGGGCACTGTTTTCATATCAACAACATACACTGTAGTGTTCTGACAACACATCACATCCATTTTCGGTGAAACTTCAACAGTGCACAACAGTGACAACAAATAACTTTTACCTACCCTTTAATAGACAAGCTTTTAATTGATATTAACTGTAAATTACTGCAGTACTAACAGAATCCCTTTCCCTGGTGCAGGTGATGTGATAGTCAGTGTGAATGACACCATCGTGCTGGGCTACACGCACGCTCAGGTGGTGAAGATCTTCCAATCCATCCCCATTGGCTCCATGGTGGACCTGGCCTTATGCCGTGGCTACCCGCTGCCCTTTGACCCTGATGACCCCAACACCAGCCTGGTGACCTCAGTGGCAATCTTGGACAAGGAGCCTATCATCGTCAATGGACAGGAGACGTTTGACTCACCTTCCAATAAGGCTGGACCCGATAACTGCATGAGGGAGTTGCGGCCCCACAGCCCCTCGGCTGAGGTGGCATCTAACGGTTCGCATGGTTACTCTAGCGATGTGGTCACCCTGGCATCGTCCATTGCCACCCAGCCCGAGCTGATCACCATCCACATGGAAAAGGGAGACAAAGGATTTGGCTTCACCATTGCCGACAGTCTGACAGGCGGAGGCCAGAGGGTCAAGCAGATAGTGGACTATCCGCGCTGCCGTGGCCTAAAGGAGGGGGACATTTTGATGGAGGTCAACAAGAGGAATGTCCAAAATATGAGCCACAACCAGGTGGTGGACCTGCTGAGCAAATGTCCCAGAGGCAGCGAGGTTACCATGCTGGTGCAAAGAGGTACGTGTTGCATCTTGATGTCAGATATGTGCAACAGAGGTGGTTAAACAGGAATAACTAAAGTTTTGACGAGAGCACAAAATGCACAAAAGAATATGGAGCTCAGCTCTAACAGCTGGCACAGGAAGAGTGACATAATGTGAGAGAAGCAGAGAAAAGGGAGGCAGAGGGTGGGATGCAGGTTGAAACTACTCAGACTGGATGGGATGAAACGAGGAGAGGTAAAGGAATGATGGTCTGCGTTCGTTAGCATGCCAGAGGGTGAGTGTGGGAGGGAGTGGGAGGCTGTGTAAAGAGGCCAGAAGGATGAATGAGAGAGGAAGGGAGGAGGAGCACATTAGGTCAGGGACTTGTATACGTTCTGAATGCAGATGCCTCTCAATTAGATCCCAGATATGCTGTCAGTCTTCATGTTTGCTATTGTCCTTTATAGCCTATATGATAATTTAGGTATCATGAGAGTTGTGGCTGTTCATTATCTCCGCAAGATGTGTTTTATGTTTCTTTGGAATGAATAAGTGAGAGGACATTAGAGCCTGTGTTTATGGAAACGGAAAGAGACGAGTGTTCTGGTTTTGTTAAGAATACTTAGTCTTCAGTTGGGTTATATTCTGCTGCTCTTATATGTGCTATTGTAGCCACACATTATTAACGCTGCTGTTTATTGTCTGGATTTCAGCCCTCTCACTTCTGCATGGTTCATGCTCCTACACCGTTGGCCTGGAGTGACCCAGAGATAAATGTTTTCTCAGTGAAATGTCAAAACAGACAAATTGTTTTTTTCTGAGTGCAGAGTGTCCGTGTAGACGCTAAATGACATTCTACGTTTCTCATTTGAGCCCAGGCCTTCTCGATGTTAAACTGCGTTCTACGCTGGCTGACCCGCAGCGCTGTTAGTGGCAGGTTGGAATATGCAACCCCGCATCAATTATGCCCTCTAATGAGTTGACCTTGTGCACTGCTGCTGGAGTAACACTGTTGTATTGTGTTAAATGTCAGCATCATTATGGTGCCTCTGTGTGAGAATGTGTGTGTGTGTGTGTGTGT